CCTGTTAGCGAAAAATGTTTTAAAAGCTATAAACTTTTTGATGTTTTTAGCTTAAATCTTCTCATTAAATTAAGGAGCCCACAATACAATATGTTGCCAGCAGCTGCAGCGCAAGCCCCTGTATGAATATTTTGGTTGCGATTTCAACTTAAGGAAACAATCTCTGACCCTGACCCACTGTCCAGGTTTATGATACTTCCATTCTATTTGGTAACTATCATCCCTGTAGTCTTTAAAAATATGTTCTGAATATTTAACACATTCATATGATTTAAAAAGTCAAAATAATACAAGATGCTGTACGTTGAGAAGTTTCACTTCCACCCTTTCCCCATCTTCTTAGCTCTCTCTGTCCCCATGAGATAACTACTTTTCTTATTTATATTTCTGCTGTTTCTTTGTGCAGATAGAACAATAATGAATATACTGTTGGGCACTATGCTTTTTTGATATAATAATATATATTGGAACTCTTTCCTTATACTAGCATCCTCATTCTTCTTGCAGCTGTACAGGATGCCATTGTGGGATGAATCACAGTTTTTTTTTTTCTTTTTTTTGAGATGGAGTCTCACTCTGTTGCCCAGCCTGGAGTGCAATGGCTCAGTCTCGGGTCATTGCAACGTCCATCTCCTGGGTTCAAACGATTCTCCTGCCTCAGCCTCCTGAGTAGCTGGGATTACAGGCACACGCCACCACACCCAACTTCAATCCCTAATTTTTGTATTTATTTTAGTAGAAACGGGGTTTCACCATGTTGGTCAGGCTGGTCTTGAACTCCTGACCTCATGATTTGCCTGCCTCGGCCTCCCAAAGTGTTGAGATTACAGGCGTGAGCCACTGGGCCTGACCTGAATCATAGCTTTAAAATCTGGCCCCCACTGATGGACGCTTGGCTTGTTCTCAGTTTTTTGCTATTACAAATAATGTTGTCATGAATAACCATGTACAAATATCATTTCATATACGCAAAGGCGTGTTTGTATTCTCAGACTCATAATTGTTTAGTATGTTTTATATATAAATGGGTATACTATTCACCAGCATCAGTATTTTTGTGAAATTTGTTTTATTTAGAGACAGGGTCTGACTCTGCCACCAGGCTGGAGTGCAGTGGAGGTCACAGCTCATTGCAGCGTGGACCTCCCAGGCTCAAGTCATCCTCCCACCTCAGCCTTCCAGGTCTTTGGGACTACAGTCATGCATCACCACCACTGGCTAATTTTTGTATTTTTTGTAGAGATGGGGTTTTCCCATGTTGCCCAGGCTGGTCTTAAACTCTTGGGCTCAAGCAATCCTCCTGCCTCAGCCTCCAAAAGTGTTGGGATTACAGGTGTGAGCCACTGTGCCGGGCCTGCTGTGACTTTTTTATTCCTGAAGTCTGCTTATTTCCTTGTTTATATTGTGACTCATCTCCTCTCTCAGTGAATTTCATTGTCAAACAATATTTTTTTAGAAGGGCTTATTTGTGCTGTATCCTTTGAATTATTTCATGGTTAAGAATATCTGCCTATCGCCTTTATACTTCATATTTTTGGGTCATACTTTCTTTACGTAGATCATTGTAGAAGTTATTTGCTGGCTTTAAATGTTATTGTGAAGAAATTGGAGGTCAACTTTAACTTTCCCTATTTATAGGTAATTTTATTTTCCATAAAGGCCTAAAGAATTCTTTTTTTTTTTTTGAGGTGGAGTCTCACTGGGTCGCCTGGGTCGCCCAGGCTGGAGTGCAATGGCGTGATCTTGGCTCGGCTCACTGCAACCTCCATCGCCTGGGTTCAAGAGATTCTCCTGCCTCAGCCTCCTGAGTAGTTGGGATTATAGGCGCCCACTACCACACCTGGCTAATTTTTATATTTTTAGTAGAGACAGCATTTTGCCATGTTGGTCAGGCTGGTCTTGAATGCCCAACCTCAGATGATCTGCCCGCCTCAGCTTTCCAACGTGTTGGGATTACAGGCGTGAGCCACTGTTTGAAGTTTTATAGCTTGCTTCAGATATGTTCTGGTGTTAAACTTCCTGTATCAATTCTTTTTTGGGACAAGCTGTACTCTTTTAATCCCAACTTCAATTATTTATCTCAAGGAAATTTCCTTAAATCTTCAAATATATCTTCATTCTATTTTTAAGGTCTCTACATCACAAGCACCAATTATACTTATGTTGGATGGGCTGAATAACGTCTGTATCTAGTAGCTTCCCTGTAATGCTTTGATCGTAAGGTTTATCTGTATTACCTGTCATGATCTCAGTCATTCTCTCTATGAAAATAACATAATTTCCTCCATATTTATTCTGCCTCTTACTGTTTCTAGACATTATATAGTGTATTGTTTTGACATTCATCTTGTTGTCTTAGTCTTTCATTTTAACATCTTATCTTTAAACTCTGATTACCTGAAATTCACATTAAGTGATTCTCAGCATAAAGCAATTGTCAGGACTTTCTTTCTGTTCCTTGAATTATGTTTTATTTGTATTTTACTATTTTCACTTCTAACTTTCTGTTATGGACTAAATTGTGTCCCCTCCCTGGCCCCAAATTTACATGTTGAAGTGCTAACTTCCAGGACCACAGAACATAGCTGTATTAGGATGCAGGTCTTTCAAGAAGTCGTTAAGTTAAAATGGGGTCATTGGGATGGGCCTCTATCCAATACGAACGGTATCCTTACACACATAGGACATTTGGATACAGTCAGATACAGAGAGAAGACCAGGTGCAGACATAGGCCATCTACAGCCAAGGAGAGAAGCTTCAGGAAAGGCAATGCTGCCTCCAGAATCGTGAGAATATAAATTTCTGTTATCTACGGCATCCAGACTGTGGTAAGTTGTTCAGACAGTCTTAGCAAATGAACACACCCCAACTCCTTTTCTGAATTTCACACTGTTCTTATTGCTCTGTTGCTGCAGGAGCTTTGCACTGCGGCCATGCAGTTTGCTTTCATCTTGCTCATGCTTGAGCATGTCAGTCCAGAAATCCCATTTCCCACGATGCCATTTGGGTGAATTACGGTCTGTTTCCAAGGCATCTGAGATCAGTTAATGTTTCCCTTTGGGCTAGGTACTTGGCTTCTATCCCCTTTTTCGTAGCATGCAAGCTGGCCGCAGCCTGGAGCAACCCTCTGCTTTGGGGCTGCTTCCCGGTCCACCCCCATCAGTCCCTACCTTTACTCTCCCCAGTCTTAATCCTAGGTCAGAAAAGGAAGAAGATAAAGCAACCCACAATTTTTTTACTCTTCCAGATTTAGTAATGGAGGAGTTCACAGAAGTTTTTTCCCTCTCATCGCAGGCTTCTTGGGGCGGATGTGTGTAGTTAGAAGGGCAGGCAGGTGAGGAACCCACCTCTGTGTTCCCCTCTGCTCTCCACCTGGAAAGTGGGCAGGACTGTGAGTAAATTACACATCCAAGCGTTTACTGATTGGCCGTTCCAGTGAAACCTTTGCTTTCTGTGATTACCAGAGTGCTAATTCATATTAATTTTAAGAATAATTGGCATTGGGATCGGGGGAATAGGTGGCAGGAGTCCCAGCAGGGGCCATCACCCAGAAGAACTCACTGTAGAAGGTAGGAAGGAAAATTAAATTTAAGTGACTGGTCACATCCCACTACACTTGACTTTAAATTCTGCTTCTTGTTTTGTGTGCCATGGAGAAATTTCCATATGCTAGAAGAGAAATCTTACGTTAATCGTTCAGCAGAAGGCTAGTGGCCGGTGAATAAACACCTCGTGCTCTGCACTACAGAACTTTCAAGAGCCCTTAACACTGGGTACAGGGGAGGCTGGAGCAGGTGCCAGTTTGAGGAAGGAGGTGGAAGGAGATCGCAGCCCTCCAAAGCCCAGCTCTTGCTGTTAAGCCCAAGTCACTGTGGGGAACTCCCAGGTCCTCATGTCACATTGCCATCCACATTTCCCGTGTGAAGGAGGAAGAGGCATTTCCTGGCACCCAGGGGCCCTCAGTGCTCTCTTGAAGCTGCCGTGCGCCCTCCCCACAGCTCCACTTCTGAGAAAGCCAAGAGAGCAAACGTGCCCCCTGGGAGAGCCAGTACATGTCCTAAGTAAGCAGTAGTTTTAGAGTTATTGCCAAATTCCACAAATGTCATGTCAAAAAATAATGAATGGCACCTCTGGAAAATTTGGAAAAACAAGAAAACTTCCAGTCAGTAGAATCAATCGAGAACATTCCTCTCCGTTTTCTCGGAACAAAAAACCCCAATCGATATAATAGAAAACTGTGAATAACATCCTAAGCCATATTTTAGTAGAATTTCTCCCTCGGCTCTCAGTTGCCCCCAAATCAGGAATGTACTGCTTTTGGTGAATGTTTGCAGAAAAGGGGAATGTGTGATCCTCCCGGCAGGCCTACCTACTTCCTCTCCTGCAATGATCCAAGTGGAGACACTTGCAATAATAAAACAGCATGAAAGAAAAGCTGACAAACCAGGAAAACGGTAGCTAGGAAGGCAGACAACACGAGAAGCTGAAGGAACTGAAGAGCTCACATTTACTGAGTTGCTCATCTTTTGCCATGATGCGCTTTAAATTAAAAAAGTGAAATAGGCTGTTTCCTAATTTTTTTTTTTTTTTTTTTTTTTTTTTTTTGTTTGAGACGGAGTTTCACTCTTGTTACCCAGGCTGGAGTGCAATGGCGCGATCTCGGCTCACCGCAACCTCTGCCTCCTGGGTTCAGGCAATTCTCCTGCCTCAGCCTCCTGAGTAGCTGGGATTACAGGCACGCGCCACCATGCCCAGCTAATTTTTTGTAGTTTTAGTAGAGACGGGGTTTCACCGCGTTGACCAGGATGGTCTCGATCTCTTGACTTTGTGATCCACCCGCCTCGGCCTCCCAAAGTGCTGGGATTACAGGCTTGAACCACCGCGCCCGGCCGTTTCCTAATTTCTTAAACTAGTAATACATTACAATAAAGTAGGGTTAAAAAAATAATAAGAGTATACTAAGATCATCTGTAATTTAAGTAAACCAAAATGTGGGTAAAATCCAGGAGTTTAAATCATTTTGTAATCAACTTTGAAATGCATGGGTTTTTTAAAGTAATGTTTTTAGAAGCTGAAAATCAGGACTCCTGAAAATGTATAAGAAAAATCAGTCCATTTGCAAATGTCCTCCCCACAGTTCTCCCTCCGGGTTTTTGCTTTCTCCTTCTCACAAGCACCCTGCTCACGTCTTTGCCTACTGCCCCTAATTCTGGAAGCCAGCCCTGGTATATTCAAGCACGCCCGGCATGGCCTCCCCAAGCCGTCAGGAGGAGGCGGGGGTGCCGTTTCCCGGCCCGGGGATAGCCCTTTGGTGGAAAGGGAGGTTGGAGGCTGCAGCAGGCAATGGGGAGGCCAGTCCGTTCACTTCGGACTGAGTGCGATGCCAGAATTCCCGGGGCCTTAAGCTTGCACATTTTGAAGGAAGTGGGGCTTTACATGCGTCCATATCCTCTACGGGGCCTCTTTCTGGCCACCAGACATGCGGTTAGCAAAATGACAAGCAGTCCTGTGATACTCAGGCCCAGGGCCACAGGGATTTCTCTCCTGTTTCTGTCTCTGAAGCATTCATCCGCTGCAATTGAAGTCAGAGTAACAAGTGTTACGGACTGGCCGCATCGCCTCAGCTTTGGAAAGGAGATTGAGGGAGAGACGGAGCTGCTGGGGTCCCACCTGCTGCCTCAGTCAACAGTGGGTGAGGCTCGGTGCGGTGGGTCTGACACTTGCAGTTCTGGTGATTAGCTAGGGAGTTTATTAAATTGCAGATCCCAGACACGTGCCCAAGAAATTGTAACTCAGTGGGTCTGAGGTGGAGCCCGTGGGATTCTAATGCTGCTTTGAGGCAGATTCAACTTTGAGAAAATGCTGGTTTGGCCTAGAGGGTCATGATCAGAGTTATGTCTTGACCCTCAAGCTGGAGTAACTCCCAGAGCCATGTTCTCCAACTCTAGTAAGGGTTTGAGACAGAGTCTCGCTGTGTCACCCAGGCCGGAGTGCAGCGATGCAATCTCAGCTCACTACAACCTCCACCTCCGGTTTCAAGTGATTCTCGTGCCTCAGTCTCCCGAGTAGCTGGGATTACAGGCATGCGCCATCATGCCTAGATAATTTTGTATTTTTAGTAGAGATGGGGTTTCTCCATGTTGGTCCTTGGCTGGTCTCAAACTCCTGACCTCAAATGATCCGCCCGCCTCGGCCTCCCAAAGTGCCAGGATTACAGGCGTGAGCCACCGTACCTGGCGTGTGTACCTTATTTTAAGATCACATCGTTACAGAAGTTTTTCAAACCTTCATGATGATTGTAAAAGAAAGAAATAGTTTTCCAACATTAGAAGTTTTGAGAGTGGATGACAAATGGGGGGAACCCCTACTGGCAAATTTTTATCTGACTGTGGGACTCAGATAAAGCCTCCAGAAACTGGGGGACCCAAGGCAAGCAACGCCCAGTCCTTCCTCCACCAGATGCTTCCTGCTGAGTGTGTCAGGAGGTGTTTTCTGCTACATGCATCTGTAATTTTATAATGGAAGCCACAGCGCAGTCAGATTCATATTGTAGACATTTAAAATATGGTGAAACTTCCAGCTAAATCTATTTTTGATAACTGGGAAGTACTCAGCACATTTTTTAGTTATTCTGAGAGGGATGTTTAGAAATTGAAGTACATGACCCTCCTGGTCAAGGTAGAAATCCTTGTAGCACTGTTTTCCTGGAAGGGAGAAGAGGGCTTTTCTGGAAAGTCACCCTGGTCTGCTCCTGGCCCTTGCCCAGGAACCTGCTTTCCTCCAGCGCAGCCCTCAGGCAGGCTCTGCCTGTGGCGGTCAGAACCCAAAGCAGAAGTGAGAGGGAAGCTAAAACTGGCTATGAGGAACTCTGTTGCGGGCGACACTTGTAATTGGGATGAGGGGCCCGACGGAATTTCTTCCTGTCTTGAATTGCTGCATCTTGCTTTTTTCCCTCTACAGGTGAAAAGAAGCTAATCTGAAATCTCAATTTTAGACCCTACTGATCCTTAGGTTCTTTCAAGTGTTCTCCAAACATATCTGAGTTTACACCCAACAGGACATACAGGGAAGTCGCAGGTGGTATTTTCTGCTGTTTTGATTGAGCGTGTGTGTGTTTAAATGAATGAGAATGTCTGTGAGTTGAGGAGAGTGTGACCTGCTTCGGGAGAGCTGGGACTGTGGGTGGGTGCAGGTGCCTGATTCTGAGGTGGCCGGTGGGTGGCGGGTGGGCAGAGGAGCCTGGCCCTGGGAGCTGTGGGAATCGCACTGCTCTAGGAAGCTCCTGAGATGCTTGCTCCTTTGACAGCTACAGATTTACATCTACCCTGGGGTCCCTAAAGGGTGTGTCTGTGACCTGATCAACCCTTGACTTACCATTTCCGAAGCGGTCACCTTCAAAATCAAAGGCTTGAAGCTGGACGTTGGTTGTTTTCAGCTGCAGGTGGGCTGACAGCTGGAGGCTCTGTTCACTCACACACTTGAAGGAGTGCCCGGCCGCTGTCTCGAACATCACCACGGCGTGTTGCATTCCTCGGTAAACTGTCTCTGAAAAGGTCACATAGAGATGCATAAGAGTGGTCCTGACGTGTATCCACCGAGCTTCAGCTGTGGCTGAGCTACCCCCACGTGCAGCTAAGTGGCCTTCCTTCCAGAGGGGTATCTGGGGGTTCTGCCACCTTCTCCCCATGAAAAAAAAACACCTGGAGCGGTTTGGAGACTTTTTCAGCTGCTCTGTTTGGGGCATAAGGGAGACACCTCACATAAACTGGGATACAAAAACCCTGAAATGAGAACTTTTGAGAATGGGTTCTTTTTAAATCATTGGGGACAGAGTGGGTGGGAACTACTGTCAGTGCTTACAGGCTACACAGAGGTGTCCCCTGAATTTTAGAGATAAGAGAAGATTGCTTTCTGAGACTTAGAAAGTCAGAGAACCCTTAATGAATCGGTGAAGGAACATGTAGCCAGCAAATGGAGCACAGGCTGAATGATTAGAAGAGCAGTCAATAACTCATTAGGAGGGATTGTTGCATCCATCCGCGGATACAGAGAAGGGAGAGGCCCATCTCTTCCCACCTGAGTGCCGCCTGGGGAGAGGAACCTGCCCAAGGACCCAGCCTGCCTTATGACAGGTATGCCCTGTCCAAGGAAGTGGAGGCTTCAAGGCAGATGCAGTTACACATTTTAATCATTGAGGCCAGGCACGGTGGCACATGCCTGTGGTCCCAGGTACTTGGGAGGCTGAGGTGGGAGGATCATTTGAGCCCAGGAGTTTGAGATTGCAGTGGGCTATGATTATGCCTCTGCACTCCAGCCTGGGACACAGAGCAAGACTCTGCCTCTAAAATAAATAAATAAATAAGCCAAGTACAGTGGCTCATGCCTGTAATCCCAGCACTTCAGGAAGCTGAAGCGGGCAGATCACTTGAGGTCAGGAGTTTAAGACCAGCCTGGCCAACATGGTGAAACCCTGTCTCTTCTAAAAATACAAAAATTAGCTGGGCGTGGAGGTGGGCACCCTTAATCCCAGATACTCGGAAGGCTGAGTCAGGAGAATCACTTGAACCTAGAAGGAGGAAGTTGAGGTGAGCCAAGATCCTGCCATCGCACTCCAGCCTGGGTGACAGAGCGAGACTCCGTCTCAAAAATAAATAATAATAAAAACATAAATAAGAAAAATAATTAATCACACAATGAACTCCATTTTCTCTAATCCCATGATTACTAAGCACCCTTTGGACTATACTATAGCTTCTTGAGGGGTAGAAATTTCTACCAGCCAGAGGACCCAACTGGGGTCTGCTTAGTAGTTACAGTAAGGAATAGTCACACGATGAATTAACAAGGCAGCATTGAGGCCAGCATCTGCACATGCAAATGCCCTACGCAATGTGCTGAATTCTCTGTACACTACCATATCATGTGTTGGAGCCTGGGAGAGTCTGCTGCCAGCATCCCCACTAACATTACAGCTGTCGCTGCTGTAATTACAGCTGATTGCTGTTCTGAATACCACCACTGACATGAGAATCATCATTACTGTGACCGCTTCAGCTCCTGCTCTGCCTTTAGAATCAAGACCTAGAACTGATTTTCTCACCCACTCAGCCTCTAAATTAATTTTTGATCAGACTTTCCCTTCCTCTGCCTCTTTTTTTTTTGAGACAGAGTCTCACTCTGTTGCCCAGGCTGGCGTGCAGTGGCGTGATCTCGGCTCACTGCAACCTCTGCCTATCAGGTTCAAGCGATTCTCCTGCCTCAGCCTCCTGAGTAGCTGGGATTACAGGCATGCACCACCATGCCTGGCTAATTTTTTTGTATTTCTAGTAGATATGGTGTTTCGCTGTGTTGGCCAGGCTGGTCTCGAACCCCTGACCTCAGGTGATCTGCCAGCCTCAGCCTCCCAAAAGCTAGGATTACAGACTCTCCTGCCTCTTGAGAGATTTCTAGTCTATTGCTGGCTAAAATCTGGTCCATACCCAGTGATAACATTAGCTAATTTATGTTAGCACTCACAATATTTATTCTCTATCCTAAATGAGGAGACAGGTCTAAGTGAATTAACATGTATGAAAATGAGTTGTCAACTATGCTATTTTACTTACATTTAACAATCATTGGCAAATCCCCCTGAACATATCAATATAATGTAGCCAATATTTTAAGTAGATATTACTCCACATTTTCATTTCTTGGCAAGTTTCTTTGGAATAAATTACTTTACTGGTAAAATAATGTTTAAACCAGTCATAGGACAGAGCTTTGAAAAGGAGAAAACCTACATGAAAACTCCTAGTACAGTACCTGGCACAGAGGGATACAAACAAATAAAGGTTATTTAACTCTCCGGGGAAACATTTGAGGCCTCTGAGAGATATCCAGTGTGGGCGGGAGCTTGGCTTCTCTAGAAGTGAACACCGTAGGAGCTCTCTGAATATACCCCACTGTGAGTCATTCTCCATATAGCAACCAAAGTGAGCCTTTATAGATGTGGATCTGATGCATCATTTTCCTCTCTCCCCTAGCCCCCACAGCATCCTTTCACACTTAGAATAAAGTCCAAAGTCCTGATCATGCCTTGCCCACTGGCCCTGCATGCTCTGGGTTGCCTGGCTGTTCCTCAACCTCATCTGCTGCTGTTCTCTGTCCGGGCACATTGGCACCCTGCAGGTCCCGGAAAACGCTGCCAGTCACCCCTTAAGGCCTGTGTATCTGTCCTTCCTGCCATCTGGAAAGAGCTTCCTCAGGCCCAGATATCCTCAAAGAGCCAAATTTCTCTGCTCAAACTTCACCTCTTCAGAGGGCCTTTCTCCTCTGAGGGCTTCCCCACCTAAAATAGCTTTCGATTCCTTTCCACTCCCACTGCTTGTGTTTGTTCACAGAATTTACCACTACTTGGCTGGGCGTGGTGACTCACACCTGTAATCCTAGCACTTTGGGAGGCTGAGGTAGGTGGATCACCTGAGGTCAGGGGTTTGAGACCAGCCTGGCCAACATGGTGAAACCACGTCTCTACTAAAAATACAAAAATTAGCTGGGTGTGGTGACAGCGTATAATCCCAGCTACTCGGGGGGCTGAGACAGGAGAATCGCTTGAACCTGGGAGGCAGAGGTTGCAGTGAGCCGAGACCAAGTCACTGCACGCCAGCCTGGGTGACAGAGAAAGACTCTGTCTCGAAAAAAAAAAAACAGGCCGGGCGCGGTGGCTCAAGCCTGTAATCCCAGCACTTTGGGAGGCCGAGGCGGGTGGATCACGAGGTCAAGAGATAGAGACCATCCTGGTCAACATGGTGAAACCCCGTCTCTACTAAAAATACAAAAAATTAGCTGGGCATGGTGGTGCGTGCCTGTAATCCCAGCTACTCAGGAGGCTGAGGCAGGAGAATTGCCTGAACCCAGGAGGCGGAGGTTGCGGTGAGCCGAAATCGCGCCATTGCACTCCAGCCTGGGTAACAAGAGTGAAACTCCGTCTCAAAAAAACAAAAAAAAAAAACAAAAAAAAAACCATCACTACTTAAGAGAGCACAGGAGTTCCCCCTTACCCTTGAGGGACACATCCCAAGACCCCCAGTGTACGCCTGAAGCCACTGAACTCTACATATACTATGTTTTTTCCTGCATGTATGTATACACCTGTGATGAAGTTTAATGTATAAATTGCTCATAGTAAGATATTAAAAATAACTAATGATAAAATAAAAAAAAATTATAACACTGTAACAAAAGTGATGTGCGTATGATCTCTCTCTCAGAAACTCTAATTGTACTTACTCACCTGTTTTTGCACCAACCATGAAAAGTGAAACAGTGAATAAGGTGAGGGGTACTGTATTATCATTTAATGTGTGTGAAACCGTGAATAAGGTGGGGGGGTAGTGTATCATCATATAATATGCTGTGAAATTGTGAATTAGGTGAGGGGTGCTGTGTCATCATTTAATGTGTGTGAGATCGGGAATAAGGTGTGCGGGGTGCTGTGTCATCGTTTAACGTGTGTGAGATCGGGAATAAGGTG